TCTTGTCGCAGGGCCGTACCAATGAGTTAATATACAAGGGGCCCAACGAAAGAAACTTCCCCTAGAGTCCGTTCTCCATAACTCATTCGAAATATCAAAAGGACATTCAATGGGGTACCGGTGAGAAGCATACTTCCCTATTACCTCTTCCTAGTACTTTAAGCCGGACCCACAATCCCTCCTCTAAGCACCATCCACACTCACGATTCTCGCGATGCGCGGGAACCCTATTTTCGAGATACGATGATACGATTGTGAAGACTCTCTCGAGTTCTCACCAGACTATAGGTACGTAGCCCAACCATAACGGGCCCTGACCACTTTTCACCGTATTCAAAGTGGCGTCTACGAATTTACTAACAGCGAAGAAAAAAAGTAAAATTATATATCCCTCCCTGGAGCACTCTGGCTCCACGTAACCATGGACTCCTCTCAGTCATCACATCCAGCCTCCCTACGTGGTCCACTGCCAATGTTTAATTGGAACGCCTCGTGATCGCGGCAATGTGCCATTACGATCCTCAAACCGCTAGAGTTCATTTACCCCTTGGGTGTAGGAAACTTTTGGAAGATGCGCAAAGCCAGCCAGTCAGCCGTCCCAGCCAGCCGCCCGGAGTCAGAGTGGTAGGGTCGAGCCCACCGCTGTCTCGGGAGAAAATCGAGTCGTCCTGTCCTCTCTAAGGGTTCCTACATAGCCAACAACCCCAAATCGATACACCCCTGCCATAAGGTCTTTTACTACTAGCAGAACCCCAGCCTGTCCTCCTGTCCCTCTATGAACCCTCCGATATCGGCCCTGCAGACAGACCCCCAAGTCCTTCCAAGCCTTTCGATACAGACCAGGTCCGATCCACGATATTTACATATGTGGTACGTTGATACCGGGTAGGTAGACACGCGAAATTGGCAGGACTGCACGCAAAATCAATTTGTCTTTGGGGGGTGTACTTGGTCATCGGCCAGAAACCGGAAGTGGCGTCAACGACCTCAGAGAAAGAAGAGAAAAAGAAAAATGTCAAAAATTATACCCCACAAAATTCTTGGCTACGCTGCTCGGGTAGTACGTGAAATATTACTATTCCCTGTCCAGTGAGCGTATTTTTTCACGGGAATGTACATTTTGATTACGTATTTACGAATGAAATTGTCCTCGGTGTAACGATGCCAAAGTAACGTGTAGGTAGAATTGTGATATAAAATTTTTTTTCTCGTAATATCTCTCCCCGTCGATGTTACTCAGTTCGATGGTTCAGTAATTTTGACTTTTTTTTGTATTTCTCTGTATTTTTTTTTTTTTCGGGCTTTGTCACACTGTTTACTTTTAACGTCACGTGTAGTTGCGGCGCACTGGCGTCATTCTCTTATCAACGTTCATTAGCCGGTGTTAAATGTGTTGCACGATATTTTTCCTACGCCAATGCGAACTCGTGACAGCCGCAATGATTTACCCGAGGAATTCGTTGGAGCGCTCGTGTAAGAAAGTCATTGGGTTTGGGTGGATGATGTCAGTGGGTCTCATGAAATAATGATGTCACTTGGTAACGAAACCAGATAATATTTGATATACTTTCTTTTGAGTATGTTTCAGTGTGTACTAGATAAAAATTTTTTTTTTGAAAATTTCCATTGACCTGCGTTCAGCGCATAAATCTCAATCTGCGGCAATAAGATCTATCGGTAGCCATCTTGACAGAGAAATCAATAATTATTATTATGTTTCAAAGGACTTGACCCAATCGATCCGCTCGTCGTGGTTGTTGATTAACATCAATTTTAAATTTCAAATATTCCCGCCTAAAATTATCACGCTACTTTCCATTTATTTCACATCCTCTTTTATATGTTTCGGTTCGATTTAAAGAAAGAGACTAGTCAAGGGATAGAAAGGCTAAGGGTTATAAGTTCAACTGTAATCAATGGCTGGTAATATATCTTCATGCAAATCGCAGTGAGAATGACATCCTAAATCTTATAACGTAATCTCATACCTCGGGAAACAATGTCTATTCAAATCTTTTAAGATAGAAAGAGAGGCCTCCTATGTGTATAGAGCGAAGAGAGGAAAGGAGAAGAGAGGAGAATACCCACCGGAGGGCCACTTGGAATCTCTTGGCACGAGATTGTGATGCCGCCGAGCCGGCCAATGTTGATAGGAGAGCGAGAGAGCGAGAGAGAGAGAGAGAGAGAGAGAGAGAGAGAATGGGACATTGGCCCAAGAAGAAAAAGGAAGCAAGGCAAAAGCAAAAAAGCCTTAAGGGATGATTCCGATGCATTTCTGCATAATGATTTGTAGGTCGCTGCATTTTATTAATGTAAATTATTTATTTACAGTAACAATATAAAGTCATACTCCGATCGTCTCTGGTACTCGTTTAAATATGCCTTTGCCAGTACCGTAGACCCCTCGTAAAACCGTTTCCTCCCTTCCCAAGTGAATATTTTTATTCTCACAAAAATCGATAGTGGTCTTGCATTTTTTCCCCCTCTATTAAAAAAAAAGTTTGTGTACAGTATACATGTATATACAGGTGCCAGGAGCGTATATAGCTGAGGTTCGTTTCAGAAGGCTACGGTGCACGCCCTGCCCCCCCCCGTCCACCCTCAATATATTTAAAATAATGCGTTCACTGTGCATCGGGCCTGTATCGACGGCAGATAAGACCTTATCGCGAAAGTTGTTGGAGAAGGGAAAAAAGGGGGATAAAAAGTAAAAAAAGCGATTCACCCGGTTTTTTTGCCAGTGAATTTTACGCTCCGTTCGCTTTTTACCATAGCCCCGTTATAACAGCTCCGGGACGCAGTGTAGTTAGGGAGTAACAGTAGTACACGGAGTCAGGGCCACTTCTCCTCCCTGGAAAAGTGACAGTTGAGTTTTTAGTTCCGACCTTGCCCGCAGCGGCGTTCCTTTCCACCCTTCGAAGGGCGCCCTTTGTCCTGGCGCGATTTCAAAAACTTTCTTCTCTCTCTCTCTCTCTCTCTCTCTCTCTCTCTCTCTCTCTCTCTCTTGTCCTACGTGGGCAAAGAGCCCGTATAGAGAGAGAGAGAGGGGGGGGGGATGGAAATTTTATTTTTATATTTTTTCTCCCTCGTTTTTATCTCATTTCCCTCATCTCTCTGGCAAGGAGAAAAATATAGTCCCGTCACCGTTACTTCCCGTTCGTGTATTTCGACGCAATTTGGTAGTCTGATTTTTTCTTTCCCCCTCGGCCGATAATAATTCTTCCTCTCTTTTTTACATTAATAAAAAAAATGTTTCGACTATATTACGGGAAAAAAAAATAAAATCTAAAATCTCATCACCACGATTATATTCGCGCCCTTCTGGCATCGTGTTCGCACCCCTATTCGAATATCTGCCATTTCAGTTTTGAAGATCCCGCCGTCGGGTCGATCCTCCTAATTGCGAAATTAATTGGACCCACGTTCCCGTAGACCGGGGGTATGCCGGGCGACGTAGCACGTCAGAGGGTGGATTTTGCGGCGTTGTTGGTCTCGGCGGTGCCACGAGTCGATGAAGAGGAATTACAAAAATAAAAGGGTTCGCGTCCACGGTTCTTCTACGTAATTTTTTTTTTTCATTATTAAACACAAAAATTCACGAGCGAAGCCCGGCGTCTCCAGTCACGACGCAAACGTATTTTCTCCACGAAGGAAAAGTAGTCTAATCCAATCTGTAGACAATAGAAAGTGCTCGAATCTAGGATAGAACAGAATGTACAGTTCTTAATAATATACGATCGCAGTAGCGTTGCCAGTATCGACGCAAAGCAAAGATCAAAATTCCCCTTGATGATGGCTTCGTGTATATAGATATATCGTAGGTATCAAAGCGCGTATATATATATATATATATATATATATATATATATATATATATATACTCACCGTTTCAATGTTCCAAGTGTAATTCAAGCGCAAGTAAATCTCGTCGTTGCCAACTTAACCGTTAAATTAATCGGTTCGCCCGATGTCACGTTAATCGCCGATCGATCTGTCGCCAATCTTTCCTCTTACGCGGTAACGGGTTTATCCTCGTCATTCGCCGTGGTTGTTATTACGAATTGGATATAGGTTAGGTTTACGCATCGCGGTAAACCAGTGTACTATAGCGTATCACCGACTAGTCGCTTTCTAGGAAGACAGGAAGAGTTTCCATTTGAGCGACAAGATTCCTTTTGGAACTTCATTGTACTCTAGCGTGGTATCAAACGTATTTCATTGATCTGGTTGTAAATTAGCCTGAAAGCCCTCGGAGCTGCGATGACGTCGCGGGGCATTTTTCTTAAAAGCCGTTGCACGTGATAGCATTGGGAAAAGCTCGATTCGTCGTTTGCTAGTATTTTTTGGCCTTGCCTCCCTAAGTCGGTACTAGGGAACGTCCTTGGACGTCAGTTGGCCCGACGATCGTTTGAAGTAAAGGTCGTGAGTCATCAATTGGTTGAAAACTGGATGGGAGCGATTCTCGAAAAGGATACCGTGGCTTCGTTGTTGCATCATCCGTCGAAAGAATTTTCAGAGCGTGACTCGATCAGCACCCGGCAATGACTCACGTCCTTCTATGAATGCGATTGGCTTTGAAATATTGTAAAAAGAGAAGAGAGCGAGAAAGAGAAAAGAAAATGAGAGGTTGAAAAAAAAAATTTAGAAACAGATATTAAAGACCCAAAAGAAAAGAAAAATGAAAAAGGAAAAACGTCACTCTCAATATTGTCAAATCGATCGGATGCATGTTCACTGTGTCGCCCTATGTACGTGCAATGTCGTCATCGTTATTATAATCAGCGCGAGGACGCGTAAGAGTAACTGACTTTGTAAAAGTAGTAGAAAAAAAAAAAGTGCCCGTCGTGTTATTCCACGCGATATGACGAATTTCAAATTACGAATCGTGATTCGCGTCGGTCGGAATGAGAAAAACATTTGTCCTACCTATAAAAAAAGTTTCTCTTTACTTGGCTCCCGCTTATACGTAATAACTTATCGTTGCGCGTTAATGCCCCCAGGAGAACAAGTTGGTGGTGAAACGTAGAAGCTGCTCTGGAGGGACGAAAGCTGAGCGTCGGATCAACGAGGAGGGTGACGGCCGTTCCTTTTGGCTGAGGAAGGACCTCGAGGACCTAATCGAGGCCGAGGATATACGTGAGATCGACGAATTCGAGGATTCGGATCGGTTCGAATTCGAGCACCAGATCAGCGACTGGTCCTGCGTCGAGGAAGACGCCGACGAGAGCATTGGTAGGCTTTGTAAAGGATTAAAGACCGAAACCGGAAGTTGGGTACTCCGGTAATAATTAAGAGAGTCCTCGAAGCCGGGCAATTGGTCAAAGTAACGAATTCGATGAGTTGATATTAATATGAATATAAAAAATAAATTTTGAGAAATTTAATATTATGGTTAGCCGATGTAACAGCTACTGTCGTTAATTTACTTGGCTGACGTCATCGGGCAGTTTGATACACGTTAACGCAATTAAGGACTGAGCGTTCGAATGTCGCACCCTGAATCAAGGATCCCCGCGTATACAAAATATATCACGTCTATTTCCGAGCACTCTCATAAAGCCAATAATGCGCCTTGCCATAGGCAAAGGCATAAGCGATGACGTTTCTTGATTGTCTGCTCCGATTGCAGCTACTGGGGAGGAGGAGGAAGGCGGCTACGAGACGGTGAACTACGGCTACAAGGGTGAAGAGGTGGTGGTGCCAAGCTTGCGCATGCTACAGCAACGCAGCGGTTCAGCATCAGCAACACCTTCGGCATCCAACATGTTTCCTCAGCAATATTGTCTAAGATGGAAGTACCACCACAGCAACCTGCAGACGATGTTCTCACAGCTACTGGAGAGGCAAGCTTACTGCGACGTGACGCTAGCCTGCGAGGGTAAAACGCTGCGAGCGCACAAGGTGGGACTATAGGACCCTCGAACGGGGAAGTGGAGGGAAGAAGGGGGGGGGGTGTAAATAAGGATGGCTGGAATGTATGGTGCCGAGATAGCCATTTCTCTCCCGGATAGGAGGATGGAAGACGGGAGGCAATTAAAGGAGGGACTTTATAGAATTGAAAAGAGAAAAGTCTTATTAACCAAAATTTCATTTAACTTGGAAAACTTCATTTTACCCCTCGCTCACTTCTTTTGCTGTATTTTGTACGTTGCTTCTTTTTTTCTTTTATTCTTCTTCAAAGATACTCGTACCACGGTTTGTTTCGATATCTCTGCAGTGCCATTGTTGCCGTTACCTTGTGTGGCTGTCTTTTGCTCCTTTTTTTTTCTTTTTTTTTTTTTTCTTTCCTCTTACTTTGCCTTCCCTCGGCCAGCACATAAAACATGAGAAACGATCAATTTTCTGTTCTTTGTACGTTAGCGATCGCAAGCTCTGATGAGAGAGAGAGAGAGAGAGAGAGAGAGAGAGAGAGAGAGAGAGAGGCAAAACGTAACTTAGGTATTCCGCCTATCGCCCAGTCTATGCGTTGAACCGCGAGTATAGTCCGCGTTCTCGGAGGCACTCTATCAAAGTAGAGTACATTTGGCTTGGTTTATTTTTTACTTTGGGAGGGGTCCAAATTGTAAAATCAATACTCCCTCCTAAATTTAGAAGAGAGGCGACAAGGATTTTTTTTGTTGCTTCACTCGTCGTTCTGTGACGTGTTTAAATGATAATGGAGGGAGAGCGAGCCCCGAATACGTATAGGCGTACACAGCGCGGCCAAAATATTCACCCGTTTCTTTTCCGGTTATACTCCATCATTCTCACTCGGCCGTAGAAATAACCTGTAGCCATCTCGGTTCCTAGCATCGCTATAAACAAAGAAAGTCAAGTGACGCGACTACTGCCGTAATTCCGGATACGTAAGGGGCTGTACGAGGGCGAAAGGGGAAGTAGGCGGTGGGGGACCGGGAGGGTTAAAGGAGGAAGACAGCTGTTTCCTGATCTAGCGGCACCTGCATCCAGGTGTTCGGCCCTACGGGATGTTATAAAGTTCCCCCTCCCCCCTCCGAAATTATTAACATTTTTGGTTGTATCAAATTATTCACGGCTACGTTAAATCGGCTTGTACGGGCCTCCGATTTGTCAAGTAATCCCACCGGTTCCTCTTGTTGCGGTTTAACAATTTTTTTTTCACAATTACCAACCTGATTATATAGGTCATTCGGTTGATCCGTACGATCCCATCGATAACGATGTTCATGTGACAAAAGTCTGCATTGGTTTCAATACCGATTGAGTCTCTTCGATGACTTCTGATTTCCATATATATATATATATATATATATATATATATATATGTTGTTGACAAAGCTCAAGAATATATATATAGTAAAGCAACGGCGATAGAAATTCTAACGAATGATAGAGAGAGGGGCAGGCAGGGGGGTATGGTGATAACGAGACGAAAAAAGTATATAGAAGAAAAGTCAACGAAACGTAGAACGTTTCGATCTTCCATTCTAGGTACGATTCCCAATCCCACTCGGTGGAAAACAATGATGGAAACGGGCAGAAGGTTGCCCGTCATTAAGTCCCTCAGCGTAGCGTGTAGAATTCGGTCTCGGCGTAGCGTGTACGAAGCATCACTGTTGTACCGAGCAGCAGTTAGCGATGCGCCGGCACTATAGACATATTTCTCTGCTGTAACGTGAAGATAGCCAGAGAGTAGTGAACCGGGTCTAGAGGTACCAGCGAACGCAATATTACACGTTATAAGCCGCGGAGAGCGAGCCACGAGAACGGCATCGAACTTTATTGCTAGGCACAAGTAAAGGAAGAGGCGTTTCGTCGAATTAAAATTTAATTTCGCGAAGAGAGCCGTAAAAACGTATAATCAATATTTTTGTATGAGTAAGTACTTTTTCCCGTCGTGTTTCGTTCCCTCGTAACCCCCCT